CTCGGAATCTAACAGTTCGTGACTCTCGGTGCTGGATGTGCTGATCGTGCTTCTGATTATGTGGCAGATGGTGCATGGGTCATAGCGAAGTATGTGCGGTGAGAGCATCTTGACTACTTCGGTTGTTATGCTTTGCATTATCGCCTTGCGGATCTGATCCGTCTTGCGTTGGTTGATCACATCTGGTTCCTGCTCTGTGTCATTTGTTGATGGCGTTGTGAGCTGGGTTGTTGCGTCGATGGTTCTCGCATATATTTCAAGTGCGTCGTACCAATATGTATGGTTGGCGGTGTTGAGTCGTGGTAGCGGGCCGTGCGATGAGTTCTGTTGATCGGTCATCTTGTGCGTTCCTGTGATGGGTGGCGTTCGCGTCACGTGTGAGAGATAGTTGTTAGTTTGTTTGATGCGGTTGGGAGGGTTAGTCTTGTTCCGCGGATCGGTTGGCAGTGGTGTGTGTGGTGCCCATAACCTGTGGTGCCAGAAAGAGTCCGATGCCCCCTCGACCTCTGTGGGTCGGGGGGCGACGGCGGCTTTATTGGAGTGTGCGGGATCTTTGCCCTAATGGCAGTGCACTGTCTAGTATGCTGTCTTATCTGGGTGGAACCACACGCGAGATCAACAGAGGGCGGCTGCGATGGGCAGCAGCAGGCATGGCGGACAGACATGGTTCCGTCGCCCTCGCTCGAGTTGCTCTCGCTGGGCAGTCGTCTACCCTCGCTCTAATGCACGAAAGGCGACGCGGCACTTATCATGCTTTCCGACAAGACACTCAGCTCTACGTTCGTTGCCGAATCTCATCGACACGGATTTGTGCTCTCTCGGCTATCCATGTCCGACGAGCCTCCCCGGCGCTGTCAACTTTGCCAACATGTAGCCACAGCCAGCCTTTCTAAAAGCGCGAAGCAGTTCTGAGCGCGCCTGCGGGGGCAACCCTCGCCTCACTCGCCCTTGCCATGGTCTCAGCAAGCGCGCAGCCGGTCCTCCCGCCGCCGCGCTCGCAGGGACGAAAGACCTGCCCGGCAGGCTCACGCGGCGCCGATCCGCGCGCGCGTGCGCCGACCGTGCAAGCGAGCTTTGCGGCGTAAGAATCGAACCAGACGTCGGAGGAAGGTGAAGGACTGCTCACACTCGGGGGTCGATGTGCTTCCGCGGCGATATAGTACGCGTTTGTTGCGCTTTTCGCAGGCTTGTCAGTGGCACCGTGTCGCAAATGCCGACGCTTACGCGGCGCAGCACGGGCATGGGTGGTCTGCACGGGGGCGGGGGTTTGGGGCATGGCTTTGCGCTTGTGAGCAATGAACAAGCTTGTTGCTGCACCGGGTGATATGTCACCCAGTTGCCCATTCAGTTTCCAACTGGAAGGAAGGGAAAGGGCCACAGTTCCGTAGAAAGTGGGGTAACGCCCATCGCACGACATTCACTAGCTAATCTATACGCATGTGCAACCTACCCGACCCGGCATACTCTCCGTCGACGCTTCTCGGGGCGAAGACTATCTTCCTCGACAAGCCCAGAGGCGTTCTCCTTCGACCTTTCGGACGACATCTGGGGCCCCTTATGCATGAGCCTCTCGCGTGCGACCCGTAAGGAGGGGTAGACGGTCTGGTCATGACATGGCTGCATGGCACCTATCCGTAGGGTTCGGTCGGTGAAATCCCTTGCGCCTGGGCTCTGTCGGGCGAACGGGTGTATTTTGGTTGAGGGGTCTTTTGTGTGCCTGTTTTCCGCTTTGAATGGCTCTTTTCAGGTACTGAGGGGGAACGGGCGGTGACGTGGCATTCATTAGACAGAAAATGGGTGAGGGCAACAATAAAGTAACCGCCTAGATTTGCTTTTTGTCCTCGGGCATTTCCTTGCAACCTGACCCTTCTTGCAGTCAAGACAATCAGACAAAGGTATTCGTCGGTCCTCCTGAGGTCTGCCCATTGCATTTATCAGGCCTTTCTCGAGACGGAGGTGGTATCTTTATTGGAGTTCTGTTCTTTCCAAGACTACCTAGTTCTATACTCTCCTGACCATTTCGTCGTTATATACCGTTTGTTTTTCTGTAGAGGACTAGGAGTAAAAGAGGGACAAGAAGGTGTAGAGATAGGACAGTCATCTGCTCAATCGTATACAATCAAATATGATGACAGCAGCAATATATACCCTTCGGACATCACTTGGTGTTGCCAACCCCATTCGCTCTTGACCATGCCCCTGATGCTTGTCTCATTGTGTACTGAGCGCATTAATATCTCAACAATGTTTTTCAAGTTGTGCTTGTTGTGCTTATAGCGTGAGAGGGAGGCGTAGCAAGAGGCAGTCAGTACATTCTACCCGAACGCAAAGGCCAATTCCGGGCGAAAGTTCTTCGCACAAATGGAGTGGTTTTTCGAGGGTTTGTTCCGTTTTCTTCTGTAAGGAGAGCATGTGTCGAGACCGAAAGTCGTTTCCGTCAAGCTGTGTTCTAACAAACATGACAAACTAGCCGACGAGTCGCACTCTAGTCGCCACCTGGAAAAGTCTATCTTTGTTGCAAGGGAGTGGGCGGAAATTGTCCGCAGTGACAAATGCGCATAGTTACACCTAACAGTAGAAATACTCACGTCAATGTCTTTCTGTTACATAGACAGGATGTGGCACCACCTGATGCCATCTTGTTATGCATAGAAAGGAGCATCTATGAGTCAAGCTCACTATGCGGCCGGATAGCCTGCTGCTAACGAGTGTCTCAAAGTGTGCAATGCTCTTGCCGCCTTGTGATTTTCCAAGTGCTGTGGTCACGTTGTCGCTTGATCTCGACAGAAATCCAGCATCTCCCCGTCCTGCAGAGTATCACATACGCAGCATTGCTCTGTCGAGACGCATTGCTTGCTCTCGAGTCATGGTGCTGCCCTTTCCAACTTGAGCTGCATGACAACTTCTTTCTTCCTCCTGCCGATCATGACCTCATTCATTCTTACCCAAGCGCTCTTCGCAGGTCGCCACACGTTCCACAGCCCACCGGGATCCGTGGGAGTCCATCAGATTCAGCCTCTTCACGCCATCTCAGCAGCATCGCCGACTCCAGACATGCAGTGCTTCTCTCTTCTCACAGACTGCCCTTTCTCCTCTCTCACTTGCCACACCCTCATGTTCCCTAGCAGCCCTTCCCTGCAGCTCGGACGACTCTGAAAAGCGTGTGCAGTTGCCCCGTGCAACGCAAACGTTTCTCCCCTCCCCTACCCCCAAAAAATGTGTTCAGTGCCGCAGAAAACGGCTCTCCGAAAAAAATTCGAGTCTCTTGCCGCGTCACGAAGAACGCTCGCATGGGCTCGATGATTTGCAGAAGCCCCATCCGCACGCAGCCCGACGCGGTTCTCCTCGCCTTGCCGCATGCCGTCCGCTCCGCAGCGGGTCAGCGTCCTCGCCAGCCGCGGCGGCGGGCGCTCCTTCGACCACGGAAGCTCGCAAAGGGCCACCGGGAGCTTGCGGCCGGGCCGAGCGCCGAGGCAGCGTCTCTTTGCCGCGGAGACGGGGCGGGCTCGCGGGCGGATGGGGCCGCGCCGGAGCGGTGGCGGCAGAGGAAGGGATGGTGTGGGGTGGGTCGCCGCGGAAGAGGGCTCTCGACACTGCGGTCGCCGAGGCATGCATGTTCTACTTGCTGGGACGCGCGGGGCGGGGGGGAGGCGACGTCTCGCCGGGGCGGGCTCACTATGCCGTACATAACCTTCCCCGCTTCGTCGGTGAAGCGTAGTACAATGGGCGCAAGAGCGTGCGCGGCGGTGCCGGCCGACGGGCTGGACGCGATTTCGCTACAATTAACGCGCGCATGCATTCCGCGCGGAGCTGCAACCGGGCGAGGCCGTGAGCCCGCCGCGGCCGGCGATCGCGCGGCTCCTCCACGGGGATCGCCGCGCTGTGGAAGGGCGGCGCACGACGGGCCGCGCTGGCTCGGGGCGGTGGCTGACGGTGACACCGTGGTTGGGGCGCGGCTCGGCGAGCGAGGGGTCCCTTTTTTTCGGCGCGGGCCGGTGTGGAGCCAGCGGAAGGAGCGGGCGCTGGATCGCGGAAGAGCTGGCTTGTCACGGTGTGCTGGGTAGAGGAGGCGAATGGCTACGGAGTGGCAAGCAATGGTCGTTTGAAGAAGTCCACATCTGTGCCTGGGTCTACTGGAGCACGCTGTAAACAGAAATGCCTGGCATCTGGATATCATTGAAACTTGTTGCGGCACGCCAAGGGCAATCTCTGTTCGCGAAGACGCTTGTCCTTTCCGCCTGCCATGAGTTCGCGTCGCAATTGTCCGCGGCTGCCATGCGTTTCCCCGCCTCGCTCTTGAGCGGCGTCGATTGCGAATTGCGCAGGCTGTCCAGCGCCGGGGGCTCATCGCATGTGACCGCGACTGCCATGTCCATCTCAGCTTTGGTCGTGACGGACTTGGGCTGTGAATCGCACTGGATCTCGAATGCAAACATAAGACGGACCGCCTTCAGGTTAACGAACACTCCCCCCTTTCCGCGATGCCGTAGCTTGTTCGATCCCTCTCTGTATGGCTCAGAGAAGCACACCGGCGAAAAGATTCCGCAAAACCGTGGATGTAGGAATGCAGTGTCGGAATGTAGGCCACTCTCCCAAAAGCGTTCTGCATGCGATCCAACGGCTTGTCCAAACGGCGGCAAGGAATCAGGGTCAAGAGAGTGATCCATTTCCTTTTCTTTTTGGCGCGGGAAAGGGCGAAGGTGCAGGCTTGGACGGGGAGTGCTGCCTGGCTCAAGGCTGCGCCAACTGCAAAACGAAAGTTGTCGAGGCGTGGTGTCTGCCTCTCTTCTACTCGCTTCATCTATCCGTGCAGCGAGCGTGGCCGCGCTTATCGTGCCCATGTGTGGTGAACGGAAGGATGCCGAGCCAGGTCGTGAAACAGCTAGTTTATCACGATGCTTAGCAAGTGTATCTATCCTAAACCAAAAACGACCCAGGCGAATGTTACAAAGTAGCCAGCTATGATCGCTTGAAGAAGACTACACCTGTCCTTGAGTTATTCAAGGGAGGTGTGAACAGAATTGTTCGCCAACTCGCTGTCCTTGAAGCCTTTCAACGCAAACCGCGTGCAACCCCCGATCGGGACCACGTCTGTCCTTTTCACCTACATTTTGATCCTCGTCGCGCTTGTCGGCGCTTGCAATATCTCTACCAGCCTCGCTCTTGGCCGACTTTCCATGCGCCTCTCGCGGGCTGTTGCCCAGCGGAATGTCGTCACACTGGGTAGCGGGGGCAATACCCTTTCTTGCCTCACTCTTGGGCGACTTGGGGTGCGCATCGTGCGTTCTCTCACCTCGCGGTATGTCGTCGGTTGCAATTTCTTTCCCCGCCTCGCTTTTAACCCACTCGGGCTGCGAGTCGCGTAGGTTGTCGGGTGGGCGACTCTTCTCGCACTTATCGGTGCCTGCAATGTCCTTCCTCGGCTCGGTCTCGGACGACTTGTCATGCGCCTCGCTCGGGCTGCCGAGCAGCGGAATCTCGTCGTACTTGTCAGCGGGAGCCATGTCTCTCCCCGCCTCAATCTGGAACGCTGTGGGCTGCGAATCGCGCTGACTCTCGCGCGAGGAGAATGAAACAACGTGCTTTCGCATTACCAAAGTCTCTCCCCTTTCTAATCTGCCGTAGCTCGCTCGGGCTGCTTCCGTATCGCCAAGAGAAGCATGAGTCTGGGTGGGAAAGAAGGTTCGAAGTTTTGTTACCGACGGCAATTGCCCCAAAAGCTTTCTGCATGCCATCCACCGGCTTGTTCGAGCATCGCCAAAGGAAGTAGAGTCGTGAGAGTGACCCATTTCCATCTCTCTTGGGCGCCGGTGGGGTCGAAACGATATGGCTCGTTTGGCCATTTTAGGTAGCTTTCCAATCACTGATCGAAAGCTTTCTTGTGGTTTCGTCCCCGTCTCATCCGAGCTTGCTCCTCTCTGCAGAGATTCGATTAGCATACTCCCTAAATTGATCGTAGGTCGAAGAGAGGCAGAAGTTTTTTCCATTATTGGTTTCTGGCCTTCGACAACTCTCCGTGTTGGCCTTCGCTCCCTCCCAGTTTCTCTGAGGGCTTTTCTGTCCTCAAGAGGGCTCATCTCAATACTTCCGAAAGATGTTAAGCGTCGAAATGACCCAAACGTGTCGGCATTTGACAGTCTTTCCCTCATTGCAACCCCCCATGACCGACCGTGTTCCTCCTGCTTGTCTACGAAAGAAGTCAAAGTTCCACCAATGGAATGGACCTCCGAAGCATCGTTTGAAGACGGACATACTAGAGTCCCATCGCTTACAGAAGAGGCTTCACAAACTTCAGCGTTCAAGCTGGAAACATTCGGCATTCCATCTCTGTTTGATTCACCTTGAATCCATCTGTGTTTCTTCGCCTCTTGAACTGATAACCGCTCCCCAACTTTCACTTTCAGCAAACCACGAACGAAGTCCTTCGCGCTTTCTGAAACATCATTCCAAACAGCTCCATAGAATCCAAACGAGCCGATCTCAACTTTTTCTAAAACTGCTGACATGGTAAGCCCCGTAAATGGCAATCCTCCACTGAGCATTTCATACGTGAGCACTCCCAGAGACCATAGATCAACAGCCCGACCGTGTTTTGATTCTGTCAATACCTCAGGTGCAATGAAAGCTGGAGTACCAATTGTGCCTTCCAAACTCTGCTTGTTTGACGTGGGAGACATCATTCCACAAAGCCCAAAATCCGTCAGCTTGGCATCGAAGGGCGACATGTTCTCACTTACAAGCACGTTGTCCGGCTTGATGTCCCTATGGACAATTCCTTGACTGTGCAAATGCTCTAAAGCATCCAGTAGCTGATCCACGATGTGTGCTGTCTCGCGTTCTGAGAGAGTCCCTTGCTCATGCATGATGGCTTGAAGAGACTTTCCCCCATGTTCCATGACGATGAACAGCTTGTCGATTGTGTTGAATACGTCTAGAGTCTTTACCACATTGGGGTGCTGAACATCTTTCCGCACGAATTCGACCTCACAGTCTATCGCTCGTGTTTGGTCGACTTCATCGGGTTCCTTCTCCATTATTTTCACTGCAACCGTTTTTCTGGTCGACTTCTCTATTCCATTCACCACCTCCGCAAAATTCCCTTCTCCAATTCTATCCTGTAACTCGTAACGATCTGTGATCTTTCGCTGGGAAGCCCGTCGGAGATGAAATTCCCATGCACATGCTTCCCCATTGGACCTAGCTCGCAAGCGAATTTTGGATTTGTCGCCGTTCAAGGTGATCACAATACCACGCTTATGAACCCTCGAAATAGTTGCGTCCAATACGCTGACAGACCAGGTCGGTGTGCAGCAGGGACCATCTCTGCATTCCAGTACATTGTCGAACAATTTGAAGTGGAGAATGTTCATTCGCAAGGTTCGTTGGCCACGTTGGAGAAGGAATCCTTCCATAGACGCTGGGTCGTCATTTCTGATGTTCAGCATTTGAGATTCCTGGAAACTTGACGACATTCTTCGAAGAGTAAAGGGAAGGGAAGAAGGTTGTTTGGCTAAAATGTCCTTACTCCCCCGTAGAGAGATGTTTGCGGTCCACCTTTGACGTCAATACCTTTTTGGCTTGCAGAGAGAGGCGATAAGTGAGTGAGCTCTCGCAAAGATGTCGAAAGATTGGTGTGCTCTCGGTGAGGTTGTTGTCGCGATGCTAGGGTTGATGTATGCAGGGATTTGAAACGTTTGAGTGGCAGCGATATAGAAGCTTGTTGTCTTCTTGCTATGTGTAAGAAAGATAGCAACGGGAAATAGATCTCTAATATCGGATACATTTAGATCTTAGTCAGATACGGAACAGGGTATCACTCATTCTCCGTCTCCGTCCAATGAGAGCGAAAAGTATCCATTGAAACAGCGCTATTCAAGTGAACTAGTGTCTGGCATCCCTCCGTTCCTCCATGCAGGAGCTTGTTTAGAGCAAGCTGGAAAATGTGAGTCTTCATGCAAGTTGGACAGTACAGGGTGCTGTGCTCTAAAAGTACAGAAAACAGGCTGAGCCGGCTTGAAGCTGCGATTCTGGGGTGTTCCTGCCAGTTTTATCCATCGAGTTGAGACTGACAGCACTTTTCCTAATTCAAATATCTGCCTCTCAGGTTGAATAAAGTAACCGTTTTTGCATGCCCGAGCTCCCTAAAATTGCGGTTTTCTCGTTCCAACTTTCATTCATACTTTCGCGCCATATCGAACCAGTTTACGATTGGTCCATGACCCTTCTTCTTTATTCATAAAATTTGATGCCTTGTTTCGCTCTGCTGGATCCCCTTGTTTGTGGCACGTCCGTAATGGCTCTCCCCCCTGAACTTGAATATGTGAAGAAGCAACAGATACGTTACTTAAATTGATAGTGAGTACACAATGCTTCTCATGCGTCACTCGTTTCGTTCCGCCATTTCGTGGACTTGCCTCTTTCCTGCAGTAATGATATGGCATATCTTCCGCTCCTTAGATTTACGAATAGATTGAAACTTATGCTAAACAAAAGTCCTCGTTGTTTCACATGGAAAGCGCTGGAGGCGAATCGTGAATGATAGCTCATAGACACAGCGGTATAGAAAAGACTTAAAACGTATGGAGGAACAAGTCAGCTGTTTTCGCCCCGACCCTTCTGCCTCCCAAAGCGAATGCGCTACCAGAAACAAGGCGAAGTGGGTGCTATGATGTTTCTAAAATGAACAGACTCCGACCCGAACATCAACCACTGCTACGCAACAACTCGGCAGCTGATATTTCATTATTTTGGATGCAAATCATTCCTCTGTTGCACTTCATCCATTCAGAAGAGATTGCAAATTATGTGGACGCGATGTAGAACCTTTCTACGTTTTTATGGTACATATATATTTAAATTTAGGGATAAAGGTCGTGACTAATGAGACACGAAAGCGCCGGAAAACATGCACACTATATGAAGTTTAGCAGCTCGACTGGTCAACAAGGCTTTACTAGGTGGCACCCACTTGAAAGAGTCTTGGCGAGCATTTTTCAAGCCGTTACTGCAACAACTCTCTCCGGCATCCCGTCGAGAAATTTTATTGAGATTCAAAATCATCAGGCCGAATCTCATCAGGCTGTGCGAACTGGAGCATTGCGCTCGTAAAGCTTTTCATGAATCCATTTGATCCCTTTGTCGAGCAAGACGGCTTTGAATTCTCCCTCAAGACACGGGTCACACAAGCTCTCTCGCGTCTCTCGCTGCTGATGTTCGTCAATAATGCGGATAATTACGACTCTCATGAATGGATGTTGCTGTCGAAATGTGAAAGGAGCAGCCGGTAGTTGAAAGAGAGTCACTGGTGGCTGTTCGATGAAGCAAGCGTACATTGTTCTTCCACGGCTGCAACCATGCGCTTCGATCGGCGCGAACCCTGCATCTACTAGATTTGGCGTCGACAGTCTTGCAGGCAAGGGTGATTGACGAAGGAACGAGAGAATAGCCCAGCCCCTGCGAGAAAAGCAAGTTGAAAGGTGTCTTTGCCACGTTCGGAGAAGATTACTCGACAGCACTTACAGTTTGGCTGTAAGTGATGAAGTCCTTTTTTAGAAGCACAGTGCTGCTATTGATGTGAAAGAAACTCGGACAATGCTTTGCAGAAGGCCCTCTTTTTTCTGTGGCACTGTATGAGTATGTGCGTTCTAAAAGTTAACATATAAGTATGTTCCATCTCTCATATAGCACGCTAAAATCTCGGTAACGAAATTGCTCCCCACGATGACGAGGACGGACTGCTGTAATGGGACGACGGACATTAAAGGCGTGTTGTGGCGCAAGTGGTCGGTCATCTCGACATGACAACAAACACTTGGCGTTCTTCTCTCTTTTCGACATGCCGCGTCGGCGTCATCCCTCCTTCGACCATGAAACAATGCGGTTCTGAGATGGGCTGCGCGTCTGGCCTGCCCCAATGCATAGCGAAATACCAAACAACGAAGTGTTCTCATGTCGTCCCTTCGACAATCGAAGGCACGGTCATGATACTCTTAGGCCAGGTGGCAGAGGCTGCCTCGGCCCGTGCCTCCGGTCCATAATAGTGAACCCTCGGCTGTCTCCCCCTGGAAGAATGAGGCATCTTTCCTTTTACCATAGACTATTCACCCTTCACATGAAAAGAAGGCGAACAGAAATACGCCCAATGTCCGCGATGCATGACTTTCATTTCATGTAACACAGCTACAAAAGTTGAGAGAGCTGTTGCGACAAAGTAGTTAAGCGTAGAGCGACGTGGTTAGAGAGCGCAAATCTCTGAAAACATATTAATGATGAAGATATCCGTGCGGTATTTGCGTCAAGGCAATAGATGTTGAAAAGAGACCATGTTTGAATCTGGGTTGGTATATCGCTATGATATATGTCCATGTGTTCCACGTGTATTCCGTGTCCAATGGTTACACGTGTGGAACATGCGAAATAGGAGGACGTGGCATAAAATCAGCTGCTCTCGGTCCCACAAGACCTCCTCGTCACCATTCTACTCATTCCCCTCCGCATGTAGCTAACTGTCATGAGAGCCATACGTGCACACGTAGCACACGCACGACAGCGCAATTAGATCATCTTTATTCACCGCCGTCTCACTGATCCCTCCCATTCCCTTATAAGGTAGAGACACGATAGGCATCAGTAAACGGAAGGTATCGATCTTGCACCACAGGTTATGGACCCGAAAATCGCCCCACTGCAAGACGATCAAAGGCACCTCGAATATCGCCCCGGACCAGGTCAAGACGACAACACCACGGCACCCACCAGCCCCGTCGCCCCCGTACTAAGTCCGCGCACGCGCGTAGAGGCCCTTGTAAGCGCTCCGGCCACCGCCGTAGAGCCCGAAGAAACCGCTCCGACCACCGCCGTAGAGCCCGAAGAAACCGCTCCGGACACCACCGTAGAGCAGGAAACCACAGCTCCGCAACACCGCGTCGAGCCCACCCCGATCGCCAAGTCTTCAACGCAAGAAATGGAACCCATAACTCCGTCGATCGACACAAAAATGCTTGGTCACCTCCCCGCTCTCCTCAGCGACGGGACCAATTACGGCATATGGAAACAAACATTGCAAGACATCGCGATCATCAACAATGTCGAGGCAGCCCTTGATACACCACCGCCGCCCATCACAAGCCCGCAGCATCACATCTACAGGAGAAAATGCGCATTCTTGCGCATGACCATAATGACAAGCCTGCCATCCGATCTAGCAAGTACGATAGACCTAGAGTCCACCGTCACACCGCAACAACTGGTTGCCGAAATCACGGCCCACTTCACGGACTCCACCCCGACTACGCACCTCATCCTAAAACAAGAAGCCCAGCGAACCAAGCTGACGGCAGGGGGAGACATTGAAGACTACATCGCAAAACACAGGAAAATCCGGATGAAAATGAGAATGGCCCGATACCCCAGCATCCAGCAAGATGAAGCAGTCACCATTGAATTCATAATCAACGGCCTCAGCTCGCACCCGTCACTCCGCCACCTTGCGGACATGTGGATCGCAAACAACACAGTCCCCACCAACATCAATAATCTCGCACAACGCCTGAAGGCAGTACAAGTGCGAGACGAAGAAAAGCAGGCCAACCGCGACCAAGAACCACAAGGCATGCCCCACCCGGCGCCATGGGTACCAGAGATCAAAACCCCGCCCCCGCCACCCCGCTCACGCGGCAGAAGGCCAGGAAGAGGCGCCCCGTACCAACCACGGCAAGCCCAATGGCGCACCGATCCGCCCCGCCAAAATCCTCTGCCTCACCAAGGCACGGCGACCCCAATGCCCCGCAGTAAGCAATGGACCACCCCCATTAACCACAAGCGGCCTCCCGCGCGCAGCACCCATCCGCAGCGCCAGACCACCACAGGACAACTCGCCAACGCCGACGACGAGTATGACGACAGCACTGTATACCAGGCCCTCGAGGAGGAAGAACCTGAAGGTAAGCATTATGCTCTCGACTCAGGAGCCCACCCGTCTCATGTCAGAAAACACAGGACAACTCGCCAACGCCGACGACGAGTATGACGACAGCACTGTATACCAGGCCCTCGAGGAGGAAGAACCTGAAGGGGATGCTCCACATCCCGACCGGCACGAATAGACAGATACGGATCCCTGCCATTGCCAACCCCGCACTGCGCGCCAACTTGCTCTCCGTACACGACATTGCAGTGCAATGGGGAGAAGTCAGATTCACACCCACACAAGCACTCATCCTAGATACGAGCATAAGCCCACCGCAGACTGTAGCCAAAGCAAAATTCTCCAAGGGAATGTACTACCTGCAAGTACCCAAGGAGAAAGGAAATATTATGGCAGCAAGGACCGCCCCCGCAAGAAAAATTACGCCCACGAAAGCACCGCAAGCCCAAAAAAATAGGACGACGGCCAAACCTACACCAAGCAGCATACCAACACTCGGACAAGTGGCGCCGACAGTAAAAAGAATACCTCTGCATGTAGCGCACAACCCCGCGCCACCGCCGTACACTCCGGCACACCCCGCAGTCGAACGGGACTTCCACCATTACCATGTGATATTCAATCACATACGCCCCGCCACGCTTCAAAAAATGGCAAAGCTCGGCCTGCTGCCCAACCTCCCACCCACATTGAGACAAAGACCCCCACGCATGACCTGCTCAAGCTGCGCAGCCGCGAAACAACAACCGGCCCCGCACTACCCAACCACACACAGATACCCAGTAGGAGCAGCGTTCAGCAGTGACATATGCGGACCGTTCAACCCGCCCTCACGCCAAGGAAACAAGTACATACTCACGATAATTGACACGAAATCAAGATACCTCATTGTCGACTTCTTGGAATCACGAGCTGAGACACCGCACCGACTGAACAAAATACTTACAGCACTCAAACAAAGGAAAGGATGCAAGCCCAAGCTGTTACACACGGACAACGCTAAAGAATATATATCCAAATATGCGACCAGAATGTATCGCTCACAAAATGTCATGCACAGCACTACAGTGCCGCACACACCCCAACAGAACGGCATAGCAGAGAGGATCAACGGAACCCTGATGAATTCTGCAAGAGCAGCGCTGCACCACAGTGGTCTCCCCAAAACTCACTGGGAAGACGCCGTCAGAGACGCAGCATTCAAGTATAATAACATACTACACCACTCCACCAACTCTCTGCCATTCACAACGTGGACCAACACCACCCCCAGAGTCCCCCAATTTCTCCTATTCGGGCAACTAGGGACAATCCCGGAACTGGCCAACAGGAAACAAATATCCAAACTCGCCCCAAGAGCCACCCCCGCCAGATACTTACATGGGATAGATGAGCACCACATCATGGTACTCGAAACAAAAACCAACAAGCCTCGAAGAATGCGCTGTGTCAACTTCCAACCCTACCACAGAGCAAATGACCCCGCAGCGTCATGCACACACGCGAGGAAGGCGTTTACTCCACACCGCACACCCACACGAGTGACACGCACAACACCAGCCCCTGCCAGCACAACCCAAGCCAAAAAATATCCCGACGCAGCAGAGTGGGAAAAGGCACACACCGTGGAATTGGAAAACCTAGACAAAATGAACGTCGTACAATGGACACCAGATGCCAACCTCCCCAAAAAAGTAAAACTCATACCTCTAAAAATGGGATACCGATACAAGAGAAACAGCGCAGGAGAAATAGCATCGAGAAAAGCGCGATGCTCAGCACGCGGAGACAAGATGGTGCCACACAAGCACTTTGACCCTGCCAAAACGACAACTTATATGGCGGATAAAACAACTGTAAGGACACTGTTCGGCATAGCAGCAACACACCGCATGCACATAGAGCACATCGATATCAAGTCAGCATATCTACATGAGAAATTCGCACACAACGGCAGCGAACAAGTGTACGTGAAACAACCACCCCGTTTCAACGGCACATACAAGCACCCATGCCAAGGAGGCAAGTTGAACATGAACATATATGGGACGCCCTCTGCAGGACACACCTACCTGACAGCAGTATTCGCCCTACTACGCAAAAGCAAGTTCCAACAAAGCGAAGCTGACCTCTGCCTTTGGTCAAAAAAGACTGGAAAGAACCTCATCATGGCCGCAGTAAGCATGGATGATTTTACTGTAGTCGCGTCAAAAGCCGAGCTCAAGGAGGAGTTCGCAAAAGCATTAGCCAAAGCGTACAACATCAAGCGCCTAGGAGAGCACAAAACATTCCTAGGATGGACTGTACAGCGAAGCACAAATGGAGACATCCATGTCTCCCAGCCTAATGCAATCAACTACATAGTTGAACAAGCAGACATGGCGCAGTGCAACGGCAAGGAAACTCCGTACTGCGACGGAGTAATGCTTCACAAACCAACGGACACCGATGAGATCCAAATGGAAACCCTCAAAAAATACCAACAACTAATTGGGGACCTCCGATATGTCGCCGACTCCACCCGGCCTGACATATATTTCCTGACAAACCGACTCGCCGTCGCGGCCAACAAGCCGACACAGAGGCATTGGAGCGCGTTAATGCGACTGATTCGGTACCTAAAACGTACCCCCACGACAGGCCTCATCTTCCGAGCTGGCAAGTCCACCAGCAAAGAGTCGACACAGGACCTTCTCATCTCCTATGCAGACGCGGACTTCGCAGCGGACATAATGGACAGAAAGTCCATCTCAGGGACCCTACACACCTACAATGGAACACCGATTTGTTGGGGATCCCTCAAGCAAAACATCACTGCTCTGTCCACCTGCGAGGCTGAGTACATAGCGGCAACAGCAGCCGCTCAACAAACAACATGGATCCGACGCATGCTCAAGGACATCCACATGCTGTCGACCAAGCCAACACCCCTGAGGATTGACAATCAGTCAGCAATCCACGTTGCGAACAGCACAGGACCGACAAAGCGGCGAAAATTCATAGACTTGCGTCACCACTATCTGACGCACCAGTCACAAAAGGGAACAATCACCCTCGCCCATGTCCCCACCGACGAGCAACTGGCGGACATCCTCACAAAACCCCTCCGGCGCCAAGCATACACGCGCCTCCTACCCAAGCTGCAACTCACAACCCAGCAGACTGCAGACGCCAAGACTGCTGCGCCGTCGACAGGGGGAGTGTCATGAGAGCCATACAAACAAGTGCCGACGCCGCACCAGCATGCCGCCGCTGTCATGAGAGCCATACGTGCACACGTAGCACACGCACGACAGCGCAATTAGATCATCTTTATTCACCGCCGTCTCACTGATCCCTCCCATTCCCTTATAAGGTAGAGACACGATAGGCATCAGTAAACGGAAGGTATCGATCTTGCACCACACTAACACACCCAACAACATCGTTCAAGAGCGAGCACTTCACGACACCGCCCATCTGAACTAGCGTCCATGCGCTGCAGCTATACTCGCCGTGCCAAGGGCACCCCAGCCACATTCGACTTGCAACGAACCCATGGTCTATTGGCGACGCCATCTCCATCGCCGAGACGCTATCCGTCTACTACCATGAAGTGCAGGACCGCTTCGCCAAGGCCTGCAAGAACCCACAGCTAGTCAGAGATCTCTCCCGGCGTTTTGACGATATCAAGGCCCGTGTCGCACGCGTGCACACTATCCGGAAGGAGAATGAGATGAAGTTTTCCGCAATCGTCCTGGCCGAGTTTGACCACCAACTCCAATCCTTCTCTCAAAGCATGCACGCAGTGTACGCCGACATTCAAAGCATATCGGCAAGGCTCGAAACTTCTCGATATCGCTTTGTGCGCGCGAAAACCGTCAGCGAGTGGGTCACTGAGCAGTCCGCGCTCGCTGAAAAGCTTGACAATGCGCTGCTTGACCTCACCAAATTTTTCGCCAAGGCTGAAGGACCGGCAAAAATCACGGCCGCTATACAGAATCTCACTTCAACGATTGACAACCGCGACGAGTTTCATCCATGCTATGATGTTCCAAGTAACCCGCCTCACGTCGTTCTCAAGTTCAGCTCCACGCGCGACTCGAAGGGAACCCATGCAGCAGATATAACCGTAGAAGCGCAACTCAAGCAAGCGGTGCTGCGAAGCGAACTGGTGCGCAGTGTCGGAGCGGTCGGCACGAGTATGGACCGCACTGTCGGCATGAAGGGCATGGGAGGCGTGGGCAAGTCTTGCGCGCTGAAAGGGCTTGCGACCGATGCAGACGTGCAAGAGCACCTCTCCGGTGGGATATACTGGATCGTGCTGGGCAAAGACTGCACTGAGGCAGATGTCGTGCGTCGTGTGGCACGTATTGCGAAGCAAAGTGGTGGGGTCAAGGTTGCAAAGTCTGTGCTTGAAGAAGAGAGTATTGACGGCGCGGTGTCCGAGGCGAGGCGATGGTTCTCCGGCCAAAGGAGCTTGCTGCTCGTCGATGACGTGTGGGACAAGAACGATGTGGGCCGCGATATTGTGCGACGATTATGCGAGATTGTTGATACCAAAAAGGGCAGCCGTTTGGCTTTCACAACGCGTGATTGGAGCGTTGTGGGCAACAGCGAGGCCGTTGAGTTTTCCAAAAGAAGCCGAGAAGTGTCTCGCGAGATCTTGCTTCGGTCTGCAGGACTAGCAGAAGAAGAAGTGAAAGACTACCGAGAATTGGTGAATAAGACGTTAGATTTATGCGGTGGACTCCCCATGGCGTTATCTGTTGCTGGTAGCGCGATCAGCATGCGTAGGAGGAATGCTCGCGACGTTAATTTAAGAGAGATATGGAATGAATATTTGCGTCTGCTCGGAAAGCATCCAGGACGCCTTATTAATGGTAAAGTAAGTTGTGACGCCTACGAGACTCTGCGATCAGCGTTTGAGACGTCACTGAAGATGCTCGACGAGACGCTGCTTTCAGAGATTGGATGCCCGATGACGTATGACGAGATGTATCGCTCTGTTGTTGTGATACTCCGCCAAGGGTGGTTGCCCGTGAGCGTCCTTGGATTGCTGTGGGGACTTGAAGACGAAGACGAAGTGACTGAAGTACTGAACGTGTTTTCGGCAGGAAGTTTAGCAGAACGAAGAGATAGGATTTTGAACGGGAGCCAGTGTCCTGGAATTACACTTCATGATCTCCAGCTGGACTTTGTGGAGGACAAATGCAGGAAGCATGGGGAAGTAAAGAAGTGGCACGAAAAGATTGCACGCCGCTGGCAATCGAAGAGATATTTAGGTGCAGGTGCAGGGAGCGACAGATGGGCCAAGGATGATATATTTGAAGATGACTATGTGCGAAACAATGTCAGTCGTCATTTGCTCGGCGCAGGCCATGTAGTAGATTTGAGTGAGTTACTGACAGATCCGGAATGGGTAGTGAGAAGGCTGGTTGGCAGGGAAATTTTGGGACTTGAAGGAGACTTTGGAATTCTACGACACCAGTTGGAAGAAGGAAACGACAACAAGATGGAGCGCAGAAGTACGTCGTGGTCGCTGAAGATGATTGCAGAGGCGGCGCGATTATGCGCACCGTTTGTGTCGCAAAACACTGAAGAAGTCTGGTTTCAGTTGCACGCACGGCTGATCGATGTTGCTGACCACTCGAAGTTATTACAGAAATACAGCGCAGACATTGAGAAATATGCGGACAAGCCCTGGCTGAGGGCCATGAGGCCCTGCTTGAGTGCTCCAGGTGTTCTGCAATTCATACTACTATGCAGCGGAAGGGTGTACGGACTTAGTGCATTTCAGGGAAAGGAAAACATACTTATTTGGGGACGAAGCGCGAAAGGCGCCTTTGTTGATACTTTTGTAAGTGGAGAGTTGAAGGAGAGCTCAACACTACAAAGACAGCAGAATGAAACGAGGGATTCTAACGTCGACGGCGGTATTGGTGCCGAAGATCCCGTCGTTTCCGACGAGATTTTGAGCTCTGAGAGCAGTTTTGGCTCGCAAGTCCGCCGCGTCTACGTTTCAAAGGATGGAGATCATGCAGCTATAATATACAAGAATGGGAGAATGGAAGTTTGGGATGTGAGAAAAAGGAAAACTATTGGGAAAGCGATAGGAGAGGACGAAAATGCTGTCGTATGTGCCGCGTGGTCACCTGATGGCTCACGGCTAGCTTTTGGTGAGTATAAGAACGATGTGAAGATTTGGGATGTGAACGCTAGGAGGACACTTGGAAACGTATTACTTGGGAATGTGGGTTACATAATGTGCCTGGCGTGGTCGCTGGATGGCAAGCAGTTGGCGTCAGCAGGGGCTGGCAAGACAATACTGATCTGGAATCTGGAAAATCAAAGAGTTATGAAAGAGATATTTCGGGGCGAGGGTAGCAATATCTCCTGCATTGCATGGTCACCAAATGGCTTTCATTTGGCTTCTGGAGGTTGGGATGACTCAGTTTGGATCTGGAATGTCGAGACAGGCAAGGCTGTGCAAACAGCACTGAAGGGACATGGTGGTTCGGTCCATTGCGTGTCATGGTCTACAGACGGGATGCAGCTGGCATCTGGGGGAGCTGATGGAACTGTTCGGGTCTGGGATGTGAAGACCAGTGAGGCAAAGGAAAGGGTACTGTTTCAGCCCGGGAATGCAGCCCATTGCGTGGAATGGTCACCGGATGGGACTCAGCTGGCCGTTGGTGCTGCTGATGCGAAAGTAACAATATGGAGAGTCGAGGACCAAAAAGCCACGAGAAGCGGTTCGTGCTTACGGAACGATTTTGCTAGTTGCGTCTCTTGGTCACCAGATGGATCGCGCTTGGGGTGCTGGGGAGCAAACAAAGTATTTCAAATTTGGGACGTAGAGACAGGAAAAGTTATTCAAGAGGTCAAACCAGGACGTGAAACTTTGGGAGAGCTCGGCGCATGGTCTCCGAATGGGTCTCGGTTGGCTTTTGGGATTGGGAAAGAATCAGTAGTGATATGGGATTCGGATGCTGGCAGAGTAGTAGGAGAGTCACTGAACTGCTGCGGTGTCATTTTGTGCTTGTCGTGGTCACCAGATGGGTCATGGCTGGCTTCCGCTGGGGAAGGGGACGGAGTTAGGATCTGGGATATGCAGACGGGTGAAGCAGTGGGAGGCATACCGTCCGGGCATCAAGGTTCTGTTCAAGGTGTAGGTTGGTCACCGGACGGGTCACATCTGGCGTCTGCCGGAGTGGATGGGACAGTCAATATCTGGAAAGCAAAGACTATGAAGGCAGTTGGAGAACCATTACGTGGGCATAACAAAGCTGTGCAATGCGTGGCGTGGTCACCAGATGGATTGCAGTTGGCAACCGGGGGCTATGACACTACGGTACGCATCTGGGACGTAGTGAATGGAAAGGGCTCTGGAATGGTTCTGGGTGAACATGAGAGCTCGGTTAGGACATTAGAGTGGTTACCGGATGGATCGAGTGTGATCTCTGAAGCGTTGGACGGAAGGCGCGTATGGGACGTCGCTACAGAAGAAGAAATCGATGAGGTGGTGACTAGCAACCTCAGAGTGCGAGGAAAGTCTGTGTTTCATGTTACAGAAAGCGAAGAGAAATGCCTCGCTACCCTCGACCTTGGGGAATTTCAGCGTAATCGTTGCTCGCCGTCAGGCCGTCACTTGACGGTATGGGATGGGAAGCGTCTAATATGGCTGGAGTTCAGCGAATGAAAGTTCATTTCCATATCCTTTAAAGCAGCACTGCCCCTGCCTTCGTTAGAGTGCGTGTCCTCGTTTAAGTCTTAGCACAACATATTCTTTGTGAATACGCAACACATAGTCGGAGATCTCGTTGTAAACACGGGGAGCAGAAAAGGACTGAAGGGACATAAATGGCGCAGATTGGGGCAGAGTACTTTCGATCGAAAGATATATGAAGTGATGCATTTCCTTGTCTTTGTTTTTGCTATGTACATTTGATGCACTACGAATATCTATACATGCATCTGAGTATGGAAACCGTCAGATTTAGACTGCAACATTCCATAGTAAACTTGTATAATGGAGGAGTTGCTTTCAACACAGCTTAGTTGTATTCTATTCACGGGGCTCCTCTGCCAGACAGTAGTCAGCAAGTCGAGCACTTGTCCTTGCCCTTCTGATGTCAGGTCATCTTTCATTAACTGTGAGAAATACAGTCACATCTGCATTCACGTCCTGCGTTCGTCTAAATTTGAACTTCTATGATGTTAATTTGTGTACCGAATCTATAGTGTTCTTCATTTAGCAACACCGTTTCCTTTCCAGAACATCAATACCTAGTGTCTATCCGACTAAGCGTTCTACGGTTTCCATTTTTCTTTGGTGGGTTGACTCGTTAATAAATTAGCGAAGGTATAACCGAATAGAATGTACTCTAAGGAACGTCTCTATGCCAGTGGTATAAATTTAGCTTAAAGAGAAATGCTTACTGTAAGCCAACCATTTCTTTTGAACAGCTTTATGTGCATCAACGAAATCGTTTTCGCTAGAATTGACGAGCAGGTCCTTTACCTGTAGTGATGAACTTCTAGTTGCAAAAAAACAGAACTTAAATCGCGGTTTGCGTTGTCTAGAAAAAACAGAATAACTCTTGTCTTCTTATGAGGACTAACGGTTCGATACACACTAGGTCCATACTTTGTGCCAGACTGTGTATGTGAAGTCTCGGAACCCTGCGCTGCGGGAACACACTTTTTATGTCGTTGTCATGACTTGTTGACTCCAAGCCCCAGTATTTGCATCTGGTCAAGCTTTTTGGGCAAAAGCATGCTTTCATGAGTGAGGCACATGTTTTTAGATGGCCAAATCCTGGGGATAGCTGTTGCGGGCAGTAATGCTCTTGCAAGTATACAGTACAACAATGATTGCTTTGGTATAACAATGCTCTCACTACAAATGGGACAAAGGGAAGGCGACAAGCCTTAGGAGGTTGGCAACATACTGCTCCTGATTGTCATGGGAAATGCGTATACCTTGTGGCCGTCGGAACAGTTGATTGAACGAATGGGAACTCTATCAACACCCTTTTCCCGTAGTAGAGCTACACGCAACCTAAACAGTATATAAGCAGAACGCGCTCAACCCAATAAAGAATACAGGGTAGACAGAACCCCAGCTACACCACTTCTCGTCTCAGGAATAGCTTGGTCTCATTTTCCGTGTCTCCATTTCTCACAATCGTTTCCCAGAGCTGCCGGTGTGGACCAGTGGCAGCGGAAAGCTACTGTCACAAAAACAGAATGTAATATTCCATACTCGAGAGCAGCATAGAGGGTATTAATGGTAGAATATTTATTTTATACTGTACAGCATGCTATTCCAACTGGGCTGGTGAGTACTTTTTACAGTTCAAACCCATGGCTGTTTGGAGAACGTTTACATGAGGAGCAAGAATAGGAGAAAAAGTAGATGTCGTTGCCGTCTCTGATGCATAGATTTTGCAAATACTTTGCCGTGTGTTGCTTTGATGGAACTGGGTATGCAATATAGAGGAAAATGAGAGAAATATGTATTCAAACGAAATTGTTGCCGCGGTCTTATGTGCTTCGCGATTCGTACTCGCGACAATTTAACCCGGAAAAAAAACCTGAAAAGTCAATACACCAATCTATTTTGTGTCCTCCCCTAAACGGTTGGTTTCGGGGGAAGGTCCCATATCTTGTGGGGTTGAAAGGTTACTATAAGATTCAGGCGCGTGAAGGGCATGAATGAAGGAATACGAAAATTAAACGGAGACTATTGCTTGTCCTCTAGGTCTGCACAGTATCTCCATTCTTCCCTCAACGCAGATTTTAGTGTATCCACTTTTGCTTGCAACCTATTTGCAAACAAGTTTTTTTTTGAAGAGTAAACTTTGGCTAAGGACAAGTGGAGTTCCTGCAATGCCGTGAACCTAGCATGCTCATACCAACGCTGAATGCCTTTTGTCATGTTGTTTGTGTGGTTGTAAGAAACCACCCCCCGTTTCATTCCTCAGCATGAAAGGTTAAAAAACAACCCTGAATGGGCAAGAGAAGGAAAGTTGCCACTCTCAATATGCAACGGTAAGGTTTCCTTCCAGGGTGGAACGGACTGCAAACGGTGAATCGAGGAACAGGGAATGACTTTCAAGAGATCCTTACGTACTGCGCCATAGGGCCATAGGGAAAGACCATATGGTGGGGACAGATTCGGTCATCGGGCCCAGAATGCATACCTCCCCGCACATGGAAGCTCATCATAATGAAGAGTACGGAGTGGGGAATGGTGGAAGGCTTTGGGAGCATTTCCCGGGAACTGCTTTCTGTTTTGGAATAATGGAACAACAAAACCTGAGAGGAACTGTAGAATTTTCTTCTTCGTCACTTCTGGCATGCTCATTTGAAGTTCTGCTAAGTGATGAACGTGATTTCGACAACTTAAAAGAAAATGTATGCATGAGAGTTCAAGTAAACGTACAAAATCGGATCCACATGCCCTTTCATGCTCCTCAAAAGATACAGAAGGGTCACTGTTTTTTGTGCTCATCTGTCCATCACATTCTACTGTGGAACAAAGAAATCGATAAAGTGCGGTCGTGCGTTCTACTCTTCCTTCACACTGCTTCGATTTCCCGTGCCTGTTACGGAACGATGCCATGGCACCGTTCGAAATATCCAATAGGCTGTTGCCTTTCACCTTCTCCGTAGATGGGTGTGTCAGTACAGTACCTTACGTGTCACTGTACTTTTCTCGTGTACTGTTCTGTACCAAGCTCTCTTTCCTGCGAAGATACGTATCACAAAATGGGGAGCGGAAGGTGAGCTAAGCGACTGGAAGGATTGTATTCAGAAATCCACGCACAAGCGCAATTTTGGGAAATCCCTGGCTTGGAGAACTTGCTGCAACTGTCAGTTTGGTTTTCTCGGAACCGGTGGCTCCCGTTTCAGATATTCGTCTAACTTTAGAAGACCCACCAAAACAGCGAGTCTTCCCCAAATTCTGCGGCCTTCAAGCCGTACTAGTCTTTCAGTTACATGCCTTTCATAGTATTCAATTTAGTGTACGGCTATATCTCCATAGCACAAGGCGTGATAACTTTTCAGTCCTGTCGATGGATGGAAAATGTGCTATTGTTGAGAATGTTGGCTCGGAGAAGTTCTCTAATGGATACACGCGGGATCTGCTGCGACAACCTAACAGGATGAATGTACTGAGTCCACTGTTACTTAGAAAAGACACCACACACTATAGTTAAGATGCACGTAAATATGAAAGTATGTCTGAGAACGTCACAGGAACTTCAGATATCCTTCTAGTTGTACGAGCCCCGCTAAATCACCGACAGCATCACAGAAAACATCTGGAAGCCTGAAAGAGAGTCTACCTTGACTGCGTATCTTCCAGATTCCATCCATCCGCCATCTGTCTCTGTAAACTGCGAGCTGTTCTCAGTATAAAAGGATCTTAAACATCAGACCCCACCTCCTATCTCAACTTCCTTCAAGACACACAAATCGACGCTCTTTGCCTTCCCCAGCACTTTCTCGACATCAAACGACTGACTCTCACAACCCTAAGATGGCCAATTTCAGAAATGGGGATCCGCCATCCTATGCAGGATACCTCCTCAAGCGCGGTCGTCGCAGTCCTCAAATGAAAGCTCGTCACTTCAAGCTATTCGACAGCGTATTGGAATGCAGGAATGATCCCAGCGACTCCGTGAAATGGTCCATCAACGTCTGGAAAGCAACAATTTCGAGGACGCATAGCCGGGGATTGTTGATAGTCTTGGACGCCCAGACTTCTAAGATTCGCCTCCAGTCGTTTACCGAGGCAGATGCATGCACGTGGGAGTTCCATCTCCGTCGTGCTTCGCGGCGAAAAGTGACAAGTTTTTACGACCTGCAAGAATTGATTGGACACGGAAACTTTGCAGAAGTTCAGAAAGGCATAGACATTTCAGAGCAGGAAACTGTCGCCGTGAAATCCATGAAGAAAAATGGGGAGCTTATGAATCAAGCAGCCGCTATTAAACAGGAGACCAAATTCGCCTTGAAGGACGTACGTCACCCCAACGTTGTCAGGACTTTGGATATCTTCAACACGATTGATCAACTGTTCATTGTCATGGAACACGGTGGTACATCTCTTGAGGGCATCTTAGAAGAGGTTGAAAGTATCCCAGAAGACGATGCCGCGCTCATCATCGGCCAAGTACTCAATGCTGTGGAGTTTTTGCACAGTCGTGGTATCGTTCACAGAGACATCAAGCCGGCTAATATACTGCTTAAGAAGACTGAAGCTTTTTTTGATGTCAAGCTTGCGGACTTCGGTCTCAGCGGTACCATAACCCCAGGGGCAACGACTAGCAAGGAATTGCGAGGACGAATGGGAACGCCATCATTCCTGGCTCCTGAAGTGCTAACTAGCAACAGGTATACTGCGGCAGTCGATCTATGGTCCGTAGGGGCTTCGGCATTTTACATGCTCAGCGGCGAGTTACCTTTCAATGGGACAAGCATCTCCGGGATATTCAAAAACACTGCCATGGGAGCGTTTGACTTTGGAGGCAAAGCATGGAATAGTATATCCCTCCAAGCACAGGAATTCATCCACGGGTTGCTTCAAGTAGACGTCAAAAAGCGGTTCACCGTTGCAGATGCGAAGAATCATGCTTGGATCAAGGATGCAAAGGATAACACTGTACTTAAGATGGTGTCAGAGCCAACTGAAGTTTCATCTCCAAGTGAAGAAAGGAGATTGGTCCGGGTTGAGGGTAGTTCCTCTGCAACGAAAAGTGCCTCTCCAACTGGAAGCCCTGGCGAAGAGAAGTTGCAGGATCGCAGAAGAATCACAAAATCTTCTGTGTCTGGGCCCCGCTGTATGGCTCCTCGCACACCTTCGTTCCGACGCATTGTTATGCCCAAGAAGCTTAACATGAGTCCTCGGGTTGGTTTGGATTCCATTCTGGTGCAAAGTGATGGGAGGGTTCAGGAGCCCCCGACGGTCGAGAGGAAGGGGAAACTTGGGATTGCAGGCCTCTACCGACGTGCTGTGTCGAATCTCACGAGCATGCAACCTTCGGCGATCCCGGTTACGCGGTTGATGCAATCCAATCAAGATTAGATAGTAGTTCTTTCCCCTTCGCTCATAGCATGAGGAAGGAGGCTTTAGCAGAGACCATGTAGCAAGTAAACTCAGAAAAAAACTTGCGTACCACCGCCTTCCTTGCCATATAGGCTTTCTTTCCCCTAAAGTTGATGAGCCAGATCGTTTGCTGCATAAAACGAGATCCAAAGTTGGGGCTTTGAAATCTTGCGTACTTTCTTTGCAGCTCGTTATGAATTCTCAGGTTTTGAGTTATCCCACTACATGACATGAAGTCTTCATCATTCCTGCTCAGGGAAGATTCGACAAAGAAAGGTGGTACACTGGTTGCCGAAACCCGAGCTCATTATGAAAGAACGAGGGTAATACTTCAAAATGAGAACAGCCGGATAGCTTTGACGTGGGCTCAAAACTCAAAACCAACTGCATTGTCTTGTGCAGGCGACCACCGAAAGGAAGCCAGTATTGTCCGCCTGAAAGCTGTATTTGTAGTCATGGACCATGTTCCTACGTACTGGCTGACATTCGAGTATTGCAGGCAGAAACGCAGCCCTCCTTGTGCCTTCGCTTCTTGCAAGTCCTAGTCCGGAGGCGTTCAGCCCTGCAATCTGCGGTTGACTTGCAATATTTTTTCTTTTACCTCTTGACGAGCGGAGACGCATTTCTGTTCAAGAACTGATATCATTCAAAAATCCCGAAACGGCCAACTATGTTCACATTTGTTTGGAGTGAACACGACACATTCATATGGTCAGGCTATTTTCCATTTATGTCTCGAAAAACAAAAACAACCGTGTATGGGAGTAGATTTGAACTACGAAGAAGCACTGGGGTGGTTGCGAACTACCAACGACATGAAATATCTCTGCGGTAGCGTCAGGATTCTGCCCTGCTCAGACAGACACTGCATGATTCTGCAACCTCTGCAAACCATGGAATTGCCCACGATGAACTTGCCTATTCCATATGAAATCGGTTCACGTGACTGTGCAGAGAGCTCTCTTGCAGACCGCGGAGGATTTATCGTACGGGCGGAGCTGCCTGGTCGCTTCCGCTTCACGTGAGCTTGTCAAACGTGCGAAATGAGCCATTAGCGATTTTTGTTGAGGCACCATTCACAGAAATATGTGCATGAATCAGCGTGAAAAAAGAAGTCTATCTTTATTTGCAACTAAGGGGAATTTCTACGGAGCACCCTTCTTTCCTTAACCTCTGTGCATGTGCTAATGTACATACACGTGGAGGAACTGTTTCGCTCTCACTTGAACACTGCCGTTGAAAGCGTTCTCATCGGTGTCGCGCTATGGTGCTTGGCAAAATGTATTGCGCATTTCATGTATGTGTGCAAAAGGCGGCCGTATGCACGAGTTGTAGCGGCGGAAGCTGCTGCTAAATGTAAACAAAATGTGCCATGACAAAGGAAAACAACGACCAGGGGGTCCAAGGGGGTCCAAACCACTGCTCTTGCGTAGTGCGGGGAATACTAAGGGCTGTCGTCGGGCGCCATTGGAGTCAATATTATTGAAGGAGAGTTTTGTGAAAAGGATTCACTCCGGCTACCTTGGCAAGTTCAGTAATGCAGTGCGGCACTCTTTTCCGTATGCAACGAAGTAGAGGTCCGTTTGCAGCGGGGACGCCTGGCGTTAGCATGAGTGTTGTGCCGTCGAATTGCGAAGCGGCATACCAAGTCGTTTGAACGAAGTGGCACTGACGAAGCTACGAAAGGCACAGAGGCGGAAAACTCCGGTGCGCAAGGGTCTTCCACCCTTCAACATTGGTTGACAGAGGGAGTCGAGGGCGAGCGAAACTGTGGTTGCATCCCGAGACAAGTAAGTCACAGACCTACGATAAGAGGTAGCCAATAGGGCACGAGACTTACACAATGAGTCACCAGCGGCCGCCCGAAGACTCGAGGCGGGAGTGAGGGGCCATCGCTGTTCATGGAACCACAACCACATAAACAACGCGTTCGGGCTGCAGTAGCACAGTGCCACTCCTAGCACAGCAATCAATGGTCAGCCGCGACTTGTTCTTATCTTGTCTCGCTTGTGGCACTTCTTGAGAACCACACGCGTTCAAATACCGATAAAATTCAATTCCATTTCCGCAAAAACATGGTGGGCCTCCAATACATAGCGACAGGTAGGGGACATGCGAGGCGAGGCGAGGAACGAAACTAAAATTCGCGCATCGCATACACCCGCATACACCCGCATTCACCCATGCAGTAATGACGCCTGGTTGTGATGCCAAGAACTAGTCCGATGCCTCCAACCACCGGTCGTGGCGGAGGCGACGGCGCCTTTATTTCCTACAGAGTAGATAGCGCCTTATTGGCATTGTCCTATTCTGGTGACGGCCCCGACCTCGTCGATACGCTCTGAGGTGTCGCGCGACTCCGCCTGCGGATGACGCTTGGTGAAGACGGGCGCCACCGGCACGGCAAGCGCGCGTGCCGACTCCGTGTCCTTTGCCCTTGTTGCCGCGGTGTCTCGCGCGTAGACATCGAGGTCCGCTGCCGACAGGCGACCGCCCCTGCCCCGCGCTCGGTGCGTGCGGCGAGAGAGGGGCGGGGCCACCGCCGGCGAGTTGAGGGCTGGTATGCGCGGAGCACGAAAACGGGCGGCGGACGGGAACGCTGACGGATGTGATGCCAATAATACCGCTGCCCTCTCTCCCCCTGAGGGAGAAGCGGCCGGCCGTGACTTTGTGTGCTGATTTGCCGGCCCTATGTGGATGTGCCTTATCTACTGTGATATCCTCCTACTGTATCTGGATGCAACCACGGCGGAGGACCAGGCTCGGCGTATTGACAGTGAGGCCCGTGGTGTTGACAGGTTGCTGCTGTACTGTACCCTTGGGTACTGCCTGCTCTTTCGGCTCTGGAAGCAGGCAGCTGCTTCCAGAGCCCCAAAAAATAAAGCGAAATTCAGTGCTTTGGGCTGCTCCCCTGCTTCCCTCATTCGTGTGCTCGCGAAAGGCGCTCTGCAGTGACATGGTGTTGCTCCAAATCTTGTCATCACCGGCCAGAATCCGTGTCGGTGGCGTTTGTCCCGCTTGTGGCATGACGCGGAATGTGCCATCAATGAAGTATCGATAAAAGTGATTCCCAGTCATGATCGAGCACCGTGAAACGCAGAATCTATGTCAATTTGAGTTGCCAGGTCTTGCGCCGTTATGCGGCATGTGATTGGCCGGTGTTTTGACACCTTTCCGTCACGTGATGTCCGTGTCAACAGGTGGACGTTGACAACATCGATGATTGCGTACCCCGTCATGGTGTGCGCGACACAGGCAAGCGATTTAGAATGGAGGTTGTTCTTGACGGCCTACGCACTTGCAACTGATCGTCATGCTTTGCAACCTGTCGAGCATTTTCAAAGGGCTGTTGCGATTCCCCAAACTTCTTTCTTGCCCACTTGCTTCCCTGCCGTGTCGCAGAGACTGTCGCTCGCATCTACTGCACGACCTCCCCAATTACCCATGAGGAGAGCAGACCGGAGAACCGCACATGAACTACAACATCGCTCAAAACAGTAGCGTGTTAGAGAGGCGGCAGAGAAGAACGTCCCTAAATTTCGCGACAAGCAAAGGAATATGTGATGTTTGTCAACGAACACCACTTCGGGTTTCCATCCGCAAAAAAGTTTTCTCTTGCGTCATATCAAGTACTTTGTTAACGTGAATAAAAGACTTGACCCTACACTACAATAAGTTGAGTTCATGCCGATGCGGGTTCTGCACCACCCAATGCTCGGCAGAAACAAATTCTATTGAGTCCCCTTCTCATCAAAAATCTCCTGGGACCTCGAGTTGTAAATGATCCGAATACAATTCTATGTAAGAAGGAAACGAGGCATGATTTCCAATTCCAAGTGCGTAAAGAGAATCTTGGAAATAATCGAAATGATCTGACACCACAAACGGCTGTTCTGGCCCTGAATGTAATGGCAAGCTACTCAAGTGTACTTTTTTAAAGAGTGACATGTTTGCTTTTCTTCGTCTCTTCATAAGAACTGTGTATTGCAAGAAACGATGCCTCTGCTTTTACTCAGGCTAGCGTTCATGGTTCTACTGAATGGCGGCGGCGGAGTGACGAATTCCCTGCCTGTTCAGGTCCCACCTGCGACATATGTAAGCGTGTCACAGGTGTGTGTGCTGTACATGGGAATCATGACAAACTGCAACTAATTTAAGATGTCATTGGGAGCCTCCGGAAATTATTTTTTGTGTCGGAGCCATCTTTTTCTTTTTTGTGCACAAAAAATGAGTTTCGTCACGGAAATCCTTGGACACAATGTGGGTCCCCCTACTATACGCATGATTTGTACTCAGACGCCGACGATGACGCCGTCAAAGCTCTAACTACAGATAATTTGGATTGTACGCGCGCGCATTTTGGCATTTGTGCGATACACATCTAACCTAGCATGGGGTCGCCCGTCCGAGAAAACAGCGCGTTGTTTGTGCACAACGCGCCGTCTGCGTGTTACAAAATCCTGATTTGGTCAACACAATTTGGGATTTTAGGATTTCAGAAGGCGCCCATTTTCGCGCACAGTCTGCACAAGGAATTCAGGGCCATTCGTAACCCTGTGCTCCCGTTGTAGACGATTTTGGGGTCTACACCCAGTTACTGTAGAGAGTGTTGACAATAATGTAAGTGACATCACTTACATTATTGCGGTGATTGTTTTAATCTCCATCCTGTGACGTCTTGCGGCAGACGAGCGTTCGCGAGCAGGGAAGGAAAGCAAAGGGCAAAACGATGGCCAACGTCCTCTGGGGTCTGCGCTCCTGCAGTTCGTCCCCAGAGGCTGCCTTTATTCGAAGTCATTTTTGGGCAGATCGCCTAATGCAAGCCCGTTCAGCGCACGGTGTCTTGCCTCCAGCACAGACGACCGTTCGCGCGTTGGCCTCTTCCAAAAGACAGTAGGAGACTGTTTCTCCCACTGACAGTGAGAGACCGTTCCTCAAAAGCCTTCGCGAGCCGGCGCGAGCAAAGTAGTAGGCACCCC